CTACTCTCTACAAGTAATCAGATACCCTGCAGGAATAATACACTGGCCAAAGGAGGAGGTACAGGCCACAGATAAGACATGAAAGCTCCTAACCATGCACGGAGGGTACCACCCAAAATCCAGCAAACTGAGACTGTACGCCAGCCGTAAGGAAGGAGGCTGAGGACTAATGAGCGTAAGAGCCGCTATCCAGGATGAAACATCTATAAGTACATCAAGGACAAGGCTCCAACAGACGACGTGCTCAGTGAATGTCTAAGACAATGGGGAACAGAAGATGAGATGCTAGCGGTTCCATCATGGAAGGATAAGGCCCTACACGGAATGTACCACCGGAACATAATTAAAGTGGCAGATATCAGGAAATCCTACCAATGGCTAGACAAAGCCGGACTGAAGGGCAGCACAGAGGCACTCATCATGGCTGCACAGGAGCAGGCTCTAAGCACCAGAGCAATAGAGGTCCAGATCTACCACAACAACAAGACCCCAGGTGCAGACTGTGCAAAGAGGCCCCTGAGACAATCCAGCACATAACTGCAGGGCGTAAGGTGCTGGCAGGGAAAGCTTACATGGAGCGCCATAACCAATTGGCTGAAAAGTGTACAGAAACATCTTTGCATAGTATGGGCCGAAAATGCCAAGGTCAAAGTGGGAAACACCTCCAAAGATGGTAGAGAATGACCAAGCCAAGATCCTGTGGGACTTCCAGATACAGACGGACCGAATGGTAATGGCAAACCAACCGGACATTGTGGTGGTGAACAAAAAGCAGAGGATAGCCTTTGTGGTTGACATAGCAATACCAAGTGACCGGAACATCAGGAAAAAAGAACATGAGAAACTCGAGAAATACCAGGGCCTCAGAGAAGAGCTGGAGATAACCTGGAAGGTCAAGGCATCAGTGGTACCCGTGGTCATTGGGGCCCTCGGGGCAGTGACCCCCCCCAAACTTAAGGGGTGGTTACAGCAGATCCCTGGAATTACGTCAGACATTTCATTCCAGAAAAGTGCTGCAGTTCTAGGAACAGCAAAAATACTGCGAAGAAACCCTCAAGCCTCCAGGCCTCTGTTAATAGGCTATGAAATCAGTGCAAACAATGCAGAGCAGATGACAACGAATACCTCATTACTGAGGTTAGCTAGGTGCTGTATGCGAATGTAAACATTACAATACTATTTTTTGGATTAAAAACAGAGTTGCATATAAAATATAATTCAAATTCTGCATTTCAACTCTATGCAGTGAACCTTAAGGCTGCAGATAGGACCACAGTTTAACATGTCTTTAATCTCTACACAATTAAGAGTATAAATGTTTACCAAGTTTTAGTTTTGTTGGGTTGGGTATCATTATTATTGTTACTACTATCTGCAGTCAGAGCGGAAGGGATTTTCTACAGTCAGGCGGACAAAAGGCCCTTTCATGACAAGAAGTCTGGAGCCTTACTAACAACAAATTCATCATCAGTTCTGGATCACATTCACTTCAGTTTGGGGAATGAACAAAACATACACAAACCTCCATTTATCGTAGAAATTTTAACCCAAAAGGAGAAAATAAATCACTGCCTGATGTGAATAATCCAGGTGCTTTTATATTCTAAACATGCTTTTAATTCATCTTGAATCATTTAAAGATTTTTATCATAACACTGCAAGTTGTATCACCTGTGGTGGTTTATGTTGAACCGATATGTGCTGCTACATTTGAAAAGATTAAAACATCATGGAAACATAACACTTTTGATTTTATAAAATGACACTTATCTTATATATGTATTGTTTTTTAAAACAGCTTTTTTGTACCTTTGAACATGTATCAAATACTGCTGAAATATGAAATATTCCATGAGGCTAATCAGCAGAAAAAACATGGAATGCTTTAGAGTTCTTTGAAATCCACGAATATTATAGAGCATGAAGTGGCCGACGCCGACCTGATGCCTGGACTTTATCTCAGATAAAGAGAAAGTCATACAATGGATGCAAACTTTACCCCGATGTAAAAAGATGATTAGGGCCAGTCAAGTTTTTTTTTTTTTTTCCCCACATACTGTTACAGTTTATCTTGTTGTTTAGATTAGATCACAATATATCATATTGTCCCATTGAATTATATCATTGGCTTAATTTCTTATGTTTCATATTCAACTCAATTTTCATAATGGATCATATCAAACTGCATTGCAGTTTAGTTCATGCTATGTTTGTGAAGTGTATTTCTAATAACAATTTTTTTTTTTTTGTTGTGCAATGTTCTATCATGTATGTTATTTATGATACAGCTTCTTTAGTTTCTGTCTTGCCCATCTTACACTACAAACAAAGCAACCCTCACAGCAGCACTGATCCACTGCAGATCATCACAGGTCTGCTACTGATCCCCGTGCAGCGTGAAGCTCCAGAGTATTTAGTTTGGGTGTCACTGTGGAAACTGAAGCTTCAGTGGACGCCCCCACTAATGTATTTTGACACTCTGATGCCAACCATTCATATTTTCTTCCACCTGCCAGCAGGTGGTGCAGCCACTACTTCTTTCAGCTGAAAATTATGAGCAATGCCTTTAGCTACATGATCTAAAGACTTACAAAAACGTTGCTATGCTTTGCATCTGTTTCCTTGTTTGCACAAAAATCAAGGATCTTTTCTCTGAACTTTTAACCATATTTCTAGCATGCAATCAAATGCTTATATGCATTCATACTTGTCTTACTATGCATACCTAAGGGATAAATATTTGGAAACAAGTCTATGTGAGAGTCTACTTATCTCTGGATGCTTCTTTAGCTTATGCATTTCTACAAAAGCTGTCTTTCCAATCATTTCCAAAGCATTTATGTAAAGTAATAATAAGTGGCAAAAAAAATGTTTTCTGAGCATATTCTTTTTTTTATTTTTATTTTTTTATTAAAAGAAACTTTTGAAAATATTGGTCAATTACTTACTGACAAAGTGATTAGCCAGCAGCATAATGCGGCAATACAAATTTATCACCTTGATAAAGTAATGGCAGTTAACCATTTGTTTTGTAAAATAGAAAAATAACAGTGTCTCTAGGTCAAACATTCAGTTTATTTACACACTAACTATTAAATGACCAGGGTCAATCCATGCTTAAGGTTTGCAGACCCCTCTATATCTCTTGCAATGATGTCACAGGGCCAATGTTTTCTGATTTACATTGAGTTTAAAAAGTGGTTTTCTTCATAGAGAATGGCGCCAGTCTACAGCAGACTTGCTTCTGTCAATGAGCCCCAGGGAAGCTGTGGCTACTACTGTATGTAGTTTGCCACCATCAGTGTGTGATTGTGTGCATGAAGGGGTGAATGACTGAATGTAGTGTAAAGCGCTTTGGTCAAGTCCTCTGGCTTGAAAAACTGCTGCATAAGTACAGGCCATTTACCATTTGTATGCTGTATATGAACTTCTGAATTTGGGGAAAGTCTTAAAAATATCTAGGATAAGACTTTTTTGTTATTATAGTTGCAGGATCACATTAGATTGGTTAAAAAAAACTAGTTAAACCATTAAATTTGAGTTTGCATTGTTTCCGTTACGGGTTATTTTACGGGGCAATCTGTTTGGATGAGAACGAAGACAGACAGCTTATATATTTATAAGTTCTTATTTGATTTGAACTTCTTATAAATTTTCAGATTGACTCTTTTTGCTTAACTTTGTTTTTTTTATTTTCTGTACCATAAGTGACTATTTTTAGTTCTGTTGGAGAAACTGCAGAGATCCATGGCTGAAGTGGGCAAATCTGTTGAATGAACATTTTTTTTGTTATGCAGAGGTTTTTTTTTTGTTTTTCTGTTCGCCCAAAGCCATGTTTGAAACTACAAACATGTGCCAGGAGCAGCTTCAGGCAGAGAAGAATCAAAATAAAACTTTCTAGCAAAAATGTTATGTGGCGAAAAGAAATGCTGCTACGTGCCACAGGAAAGCAGGGTGGTGGCAGCATTATGCTTAGTTAACACTCACCAACAGGTTTTTAGACAGGGGTCGACAACGCTCTTCTTTTTTAATCATTTAAAGCATTTAAGCATTTATAAAGATGTTAAAATGACAATATGTAAAACAAAAATTAGAAATTAAAAGAAGCAATAAAAATCTGTTTATTACGAATAAAGTTTAGATGAATGCTGACCCCTCCAGTTCACAGGTCAGCATTGGTAGCCCTTCATATGACTTGGTGACCAAGAAGCCATCATCCTTAAAAAGGTTGGTGACTCCTGCTTTAGAGAATAGGTGTAAAAGTAAAATATATATTTAGTGGCATTTATTGGTCTGAATCTCAACTTAAGTGTTTCAAAAAATGTTCCATTAAAAAGGAATAGAACACAAAAAGACAAAATTGTACGTTACTATTGAGCGTTTTTAATAATAATAATTGATGTAAATGAAAAGGAAGTTTCAGCTAAAATTAATAATTAAAAAAAGGCAGTGTTCTCTTTACAGCACGATAATGACCTTAAGCATAATTTTAGAGTTACAACGGTGTAAGCATCAAAGCATATTGATGCATTGGAAGGGCCTAGTCAAATCCCAAAGCTCAAACCAATTGAGAATCTGTGGGAAGACTTGATCATTCATCAGTTTATCTTAGCTTCGGCTATTTTAGATTTTTTTTTAAGCATGTGGGTAAAAAACTTAGATACAAGTGAGAAATGATATTTAAGTAAAACTGATCAGATACTCACTAATAATCTGATTTTGCCATGATGTTAAAAGCCTCATGAGAATATCATTTAATAATTATCCTGGATTCACACACCTAATGTTGGACAGTGTGCAGCCAGGACTCATTTACCTGTTCTCAGGTCAGCCAGGCTGCAGAAGAACAAACTGTTTTTGCAAGCAAACATTCATAAGTGTAACCTTAGGGGGGCCAGCAGTGAACAACAGGATCCAGATGTGACCATAACATTTCTGTTTCACAACCATCCTATGACATACCGATGCTCTCACACGGGGGGTGTGGTGTCACGTGGCCCGACGTGCAGTTAAAAACCGACAGACAGAGTCATGAGAGGCTCAGAGACTCACAGAGACCAGATAACTACAACCTGCAAGAAAGCGATGGACGCGGCGTACAAGAGAGTAAATGGAAACTACAGCCCGGAGGGGGAGACTGGAGAGCCGGGCACTGGGGTAAAAACACCAAACCCAATCTAACAAACATTTTTACTCTTTATAATCTGATCCAAATGTTTTCCATATGTTTTTTACTGTTTTTTTTTTAAAGCCTCTATAGAAAATAATTTTGTTTTATTCCTTAAAGCAGAAATTTCTGGTTAACGCAAAAAAACAAAAGCAAAAACTTGCCTTTATGTGCCATGAATGGGGGGCAAAACAGCTGAGGTGAGAAAAAAACACAATGCTAACTCTCAGGCACAGTCAGATCCAATAACATTACATCACCTGAGGTGTTGCTCTCAATAAAATATAAATTTTATTATCTGCTTCTTAGCAGGTCTAGGGTGTTGCTTTGGTAATAATTGCTTGGTTTTCTGCTTTTAAAGCGTAAAACATTCCTGATTTTTTCCAGCATGTTTTATTTTACGCTGCAGAAGGAAAAGTTTTATGTATGTTCCTGTGCTCCATGGGTCGGGGGGTGAGGGAGGTCATGAGAGACTGTTAATCTCAGGTGTGAAGGCTGCTTAGGGTCGTCTCCTCAACGTGTTTCAGAATATGATTTCACACTTTGGTGGAAATAAACTGGAAGAAAAATCTGATCATTTAATATCATAAACCGGAAGCCAAACCAAGAGGTGAAGTAAAGCTGGAGGGTTTGAGGTGAACGTTTGTTTTCTTTTTCCCAGAAGAGAAGAAACTCATATCTGGAGGAGGACACCAGCAGGAAGGCGGAGGTGATCACCTGCCTCTTCTCCCTGAAGGAGGAAGTTGGAGCTTTGGCCAAAGCCCTGCGCCTCTTTGAGGTAGAAAGCTGCTATCAATCTCTCTCTTATATACTTGTGTGACTTTTATTTTTTAAACTCAGGCTTCATCAGTATTATTATTCTCTGTTCAGCAGCTAAGGTTTTGCTGAGAAGACATGTACATAGATGTTACATTGCATAAACTCTGCAGGAATTGGTCCTTTAATGATCCAAACTGATGGACTTGATAACCTAATGCCTGGACCTTCACAAAGTTAGAGATTAACATAAAACACAACATTGCACCTTTAAAAACTGCATTTACAGGTTTCCCTTATGTCGTCGGAAGTTCTTAAACATCACTTTAAAAGGCTGGCTTTTTATTTTAGCTAAGTCTGGCTGAAAATAATAAAAAGTAAAAGTTGTTTTTGTGTGGTTTTCCTTATTTAAAGTGATCCGATCCCCCGTTTTTTTGGATATCAGTCTTGTGCAAACAGAAGGAAGCTCTTTGATCCTCTGACTGTTTACCTGCGGGGTTTCTGTTTTATTAAAGTTCAAGCATGGTGGAAAACTTTCCCCTTTCACTGATGTTCAGCTGAAAAGCTTTTATAGACAAAATGACCTAAGATATCTGTGTTTTAATAAACAGTTAATGAGAAGACATACGCTTCAACCATCAAGCTGCTGATTTCTGTTGAGCTGGAAGAATTTATTTAATATTCCCCTTTTTATTTGGTGCATCCACTTTTTCAATGCATCAGCACCGCTGGCTGTGAAACAACCCCACAGCATGATGCTGCTGCCACCATACTCAACAGTCCCTTCTTGATTCAGAGTAATTAATGCTAAAGTAGTTTATGTTTTTTGTCTAAGCGGTGCTTCCATTAAATAGTAGCCGCAAAATAACCTGAAAACATGATGCTGCCACCGCCGTGCATAACAACTGTTTCCATATTTCTGAACCGGAAACCTTCCCGTGACTTCTCTGAATAACCTCAGGTCATCGTGACAAAACAGCTCAGTCTTTGTCTGCCTGAAAAACTTAAGTTTCCCCAGAAGTCATTTGGCTTTTTAAATGAGCAATAGAAAAAAATGGTAATAAGGGACTAAAGCAGCCATATTTTTTTAAGTCGACTTTATAGCTTAATTATATTCAATCAAAGGTCAATACTTTATAGAATCACCTTTGGATGCATTTAAAGCTCCACATCTTTTAGGGATTGTCTTTTCCACTTGTGCACCTTTGGAGAATAAATGTTTTTGGTTTTTTTGTAAAATTGCATTAAGGTCATTGTGAATTTTAAGAATCAAATCTTGCCAAGGTGTTTCAAAAATACTTCAGTATGAACTTTATCTAGACGAACACATAAGCACGTTTGGATCTTCCACCCAATCTTGCATGTTAGCAGCCTCCAATCCGTTTCGTTCCATAATTTCCTTAGTTTTTTTTGACAAACAAAACAGATGGATATTTAATTATTTAAAATAAAGATAGTTAAAACTTGCAGGGTCTGTTGAATAAAAGTTTAATTTCCATACTGTATAGCATTGGTTGTATTAATCAAAATATTATGTTTTAACAGATAATTTCATATTATTATATGACTAATACTGAAATAAGCTGAATATTTGCGGTCCCAAAGATCGACTTTCCAGTGTTTTATTTAGATTCTTGTCAAATAAACCTCTCTGTGAGTACGTGACAGAAGGACTACTGAGTAAACAATGATTGGCAGAAAAGCATCATACCCTTTAATGCCTTGTTGTCATCTTTGTGCAGGCCAAAAGGCATTCAAAGTTCCACAAAGAAATAATAGAACACCCTGTTTTTGATTAAGTAACAAATCTTTAAATATTCATGAGAGAAAATCTGGGAATTTGGGCTAAAATCAAAACCAGTTTAACGCTAAACTAGAAGCTGTAAAGTTCAGAATCCTTGCTGAACCTATGAGGTGCAGCCATGCCGATCCTCCCCCTGCTCCACCCCCAGCCCCTGCTCCTCTTCATTTTTTACATCCTCTCTAAAACCAGCCAAATATCCTCAATACTATAAAGACTAAACTTACTCCCTGCAGTTTTGCTCAAAGCTGATTCCATGGAAAAGCTCTGAAGATAAATACTTCCACGTTTCTCCTTCTCTGCAGAGCCATACGGCAGCTATCACATGTTAATGCTTGTGTCTAATCCTTTTATTCTAAAACTCAAAAAAACTTTGTGATAGATAATCTGGCCCGAACTTGTGCAACCTTAACAGCATGATTCATTTGTGACGCCATATCATCAGAGCTCGACCTTGACCTTTCAGCCTTCAGTCTGACGCCACAGCATTGCTGTTGTCACCAGCCTCATGGGGGCGGGGAGAGGAATCAGGATACAATGACCCCTACATCCTTCTGACTGCAGGATTTTACACTGGCTAATGGCACAAGCCACAAAGCATATCGTTTGTCCACTTCTAGTTTGTATAAGGACAGAGAAGGTAATACGATTTTCTTAGGTTTAATAGGTGGAATATTCAAATAGAACTAAATAGCAAGAATAAAAAGCAATTTTTTTTATTTTGAAAATGACTTTTTCCATAAATTTGGACTCAGGGAAATGCATTGCCTGAGTAAAGCACCCTTAGATGCACAATAAGATCCAGATGGGGGTAAATCAGGGGCCCTCTCACTCACGCCTCTTCTTTAAGCCTATAGTAGAAAGAGAACAACATACTCCCTCTTCCTCCGCCCCGATTGTTGGTTAAACAAGAAAGCACACAAAAGCAACGACTTTGCACACATGGAAAGCATCTTGCATGGTAGCCATAGAGGGAAAAATGTTGGTATGCCACCAGGAAAACCTTGAATACTCGTGAGATTTATTTATTTTTGCTAAACAAAGCATAAATGTGCCATGCTGGAAGGATTTAGAATGATTTCTTTATGCAAGTCTAGTTTGGCCAACTCAGTTATTCAGACAGAGTTCAAGGCTGGTGACTACAGGTGATAACCCCACCGACTTCAGTTATTACACACCACCCTCTAGTGGTGAAGGGAAAGCAGTGCTCCAGCAAATTGAGTTTTTGGGTCATTTCCTAATCATATAGTAAGAAGTCAAACCTAAAGATTCTTTAAAAAAGAAACTAAAGGCTTACCTTCTCTTTTTTTGTGTAGGATAAGGGCATCAACCTGACACACATCGAGTCCCGTCCTTCACGGATGAATAAAGAAGAGTATGAGTTCTTCATCAGTGTGGAACCAAACTGCTCTCAGGCCCTGGATGAGGTCATCGACGGCCTACGCACACAGATCAGCGGCCATGTGCACGAGCTGTCCCGCAACAAGCAGAAGGACACAGGTTAGCTACACTACTAAACCACAACATGGCAATAAATTGGTTCTAAAATGTTTCCTGGCAGAATCCCTGAATTTGTGAAAACTGAAATTAAAGATTTCATTTACTTCTCAGCATAAAATATTATTTCATCCCTGAGCTGCGTGTCCCGAGCCCGTAACCTCATCAATGACCCCTGACACCCCCACCATGGACTGTTCTCCCTGCTGCCCTATGGGAAGAGGCTTTGCAGCATTCAAGGTTCTGCAACAGCTTTTTCCCCACTGCCATCAAACTGCTGAACTGTTGAATAAAACTCTAAATAAAGTCACAAATTGAGACTCTGCATGAAACTGATAATACTAAACCAAAAAGAACTCAACTAAAAGAAAAAAAATTTTTACTCCATTTTTGCACCATATATCCATAAACATGTCAATGCATTTTGCACCATATTTTTCTCCCATGCTGTTTACTTTAGATCACTGCTGCAAACGTTTCCATCTATGAAATGGAAACGTTCATGTCACTGCTAAGCTGCTGCTCATTTACTGTCTAAAAGCCGTCCAAAATGAAATAAAATATGTCTAAGTCTATTAGATTAATGGACAGTGTTGGGAAAGTTCTCTTTCTACGTGAACTAGTTCAAAGTTCAGTTCACACATTTTAAAATGAACTAGTTCAGTTCATAGTTCATAATTCCAAAAAATGAACTAGTTCATAGTTCTTTTTTTTTCATATATTGCTCAATTACACCATAGCCTACTGTAGAACCACAGACAGCAATTATTTTATCAGTTGTAACACTGAAACTGTGCGCCAGATTTCATCTTCATATCCAGTTTTGAATCCTTATCCAACCAGGGTTTACATTAGCATTGAGGGGACAGATTTCCCCATTGTTGCTTTAATGCTTTGTTGCTGTCCATTCACTTCACACTAGTAGCAGCTGCAGCTTTCACCCCTACAGTATATTCTCAAAAACATCAGGAAAAATGTGCTGCTTGAATGGTCTTTTTTATGAGTAATTATTAAAAGAAAAATAGGAAAGTAGTCTTTAAGGTGCAAATGTTTTTTGTTTTTTTTATAATTTTTTTCCATTTGAAATTCCATTTCAATACATACTAAAAAGGAATACTGGAATCCTGGAAAATTATACCAGGCAGGTTTAACAAACAAGTTACATGGATAGTAAAACCCTCAAGAACAGGGGTCTTATATGTTTTCCAGACCAAGGACCCCCAAACTGATGGCGAGATGGAGCGGGGACCCCCTAACTATATATATTGTATGAAATTGTGTCCTATAGTCACTCTATTACAGGTGGAGTAATGTAAAGAAATTAACTTCTCCCTGGGATTATTAAAGTTTTTCTGATTCTGATTCCTGGTTGATGGGACAGGTGTTGTGAAGGAAACGGTGCCCAGCTTGAAAGAGCTCCTGTGTGTCGCTGAATGTGAGCATTGATGACTGAAAGACATCTTCTGCCTCCATTTATCTGTTTACTACAGTGCGTTGATTTCATGTTAATGAGTATTTAAAGACATTTCAATTAGTGGGAAAAAAAATTGCAGGGGGGGAATATAAAAATATCAACTAACCATGCAGACCCTCATGCAGTACCTCCGTAGACCCCCTAGGGGTCGCGGATCCCCTGTTGAAGACCTCCGCTCAAGAAGATTTTACTAACACAAACTGAGGGACCAGGCTGAGGTAGGAATTTAAGGTTACTGAAGTGCGGATTTTTTTACTGAAAGCCGGCGGGCAAACTTGTTGCCATCATCCTCACCGACCACCTGGTCATAAACCTGTTTTAAGTGATTATACTGCTGCTTTGTCGCCTCAACGGTCGCCTCCATGCTGCTGCAGCTTTAACGCTGCATTTTGTTTTGATGACACACGCGGCTGTAGGCTATGACGCTGGTAGCTGCTGTTGCCAGATTGGGTGTTTTTCCCGCTACATATTAAGGCCTGTTTACGGTGTGATTTAGCCGGGGTTTCGCCTGGAGGGCTCTATAGAAATCTGGCAACCTATTAAACGGAGTTGAACTGAGAGAGCGAGCCGTTCACAGACACCAGAATGAACGAGTTCACAATAACGTTCATCAGGCGGTAATGCAGTACGTTCAGTTCACGTTCGCCCAAAATATGAACGAGTTCATGAACTTTCGTTCAATGAACGCGTTCAGGCACAACACTGTTAATGGATTATTTCAAAAGTAACTGCCAAAGGCAGGGGAAATGGTTTAATTAAGGTTAAAATGTGACACTTTTAAATAGACTGAAAGATGCAGGAAAAAGGGGGAATTTATTGTTTTCCCTCAAATGAAAGCAACATTAACTAGTGTTTGTGCTTGATTTAGAGTGCGTTCTCTTAAACTCGAAACCTGGAAATCGGAGTGCAGAAATCTAAGAGTAGATTTTTATTTTAGTTTCCCTCTTGATAATGCCTGTTTTCCTCATTATTCCAAGACCAAATTCACATCTAGTTTTAGCTTTAAAATGTTTTTTTTTACTTTTCCCAAAATTAAAAATCCCTCATAAAGGGATGAAAAAAATAAGTTGCTAGATCTGCAAGGACAACTAAAAGATAAAGTAAATCTATTGTTTGGAATATTAGACAAGGTACATTCATAATTCAGGAATATGAAATATTTTTTACTTATCTTAAAATCTGATAATTACGGAAGAGGATTAGGGCCACTGAAAAAAAAAAAAGTTAACAGATTTTTTTTTATTGTATTTCAGTATAGTATGGGAAAAAAGTCAGAATTCTGACTTTAATCTCAGAATTCTGACTTTAATCTCAGAATTTTGACTTTAATCTCAGAATTCTGACTTTTTTATTGTCAGAATTCAGTCAGAATTCTGAGATTAAAGTCAAAATCTGAGATTAAAGTCAGAATTCTGAGAAAAAAGTCAGAACTCTGCGATTAAAGTCAAAATTCTGAGATTAAAGTCAGAATTCTTAGAAAAAAGTCAGAACTCTGCGATTAAAGTCAAAATTCTGAGATTAAAGTCAGAATTCTTAGAAAAAAGTCAGAATTCGGAGACAAAAGTCAGAATTCTGAGTTTAAAGTCAGAATTCTGAGAAAAAGGTCAAAATTCTGAGATTACAGTCAGAATTCTGACTTTTTTCCAATACTAAATTGAAATAAAATTTTAAAATCAGTAAACTTTTTTTTTTTTCAGTGGCCCTTCCGTAGATAATTAACAGTTTAATCTGATCAAAAACGTTAAAAAAAAAACAGCTGTAGCAAAAAAAATTTTTTTTCAATATATCTCAACACAAACAATTATAATAAGCAAATATCTTAGACTTTTTCAACAACATCTAAATTAAATATAGCTGGCATCTCTACTCCCACAGATCCAACATGGATGGTAGAAATGAAATAAAACAGATATTATTAATACTGAAGTGTCTCATTTATATATATAAAAGAAAAGGATGAAGCTGGGTGTTTGGCCATAGCCAGACTTGGTATTAGTCAGTGTCGCCAGCAAGACTCATGTCCCTTTGCCTCTGTCCAGACTCCTTTATTAGTCGTTTCCAGAAACACATTAGTTTAGCAACTGGGGACCAACAGGCCTGGTGCAGACAGAGGACCTCTGTGTTTAAAACTGGCAGAGAGAACATGTCAAGGTCACGGCACACTGAGACAGACAGGGCCACCAAGGATCCCACTTTGGGCTCCATGTAGACACCAAGTTCAAATGATCAGGGTCAAGTTGTATAGGGAATTTTACAGCCTGTTTTGGAGACAGCCTGTTTATAGATGAACCCAATCTGGGGTCTGTTGTCCTTGCAGTGGCCTCAGGCTGGACCACACTGCATAAATGTAGACTGATGACTGGACCACAGTGTTTTCTGCGAGTCATAAATCTGTATAAATGACCAAATGCCTACTTGTATGCTGACCCGGTAAAAGTAATAATAATATCAATTTGTGCCGCAGGGGTTCATAGAAATAAAAAAATAGATCACATGAAATTTCAACAAATAATTTCCTAATCAGATTAATTAATAATCCATCCATCCATTTTCTGACACACTTTATCCCGAGTGGGGTCGGTCCAGCTGTCAATGGGCGAGAGGCGGGGTAAACCTTGGACAGGTCATCAGTCCATTGCAGGGCAACACGGAGACAAACAACCATTCACACACACACACACACACACACACACACACACACCTAAGGAGAAATTAGAGAAGCCATTTAACATAACAGTCATGTTTTTGGACTTTGGGAGGAAGCCGGAGTACCCGGAGAGATCCCACGCATGCTCAGGGAGAACGGGACCTGACTGTGGGCCCTTAGTACAGCTGGTGAAAATATGAATGCCTGCACGCGCAGGTAGAAACTAGAAATAAACCTAAACAGTAGTTCTGCAAAAATGTGATTGTAAAGCTCATCTTAGAAAAAGAAGGCAAAGACCAAGAGGTCTGGGAAAACATTTTCTGGTTGGACGAGTCTAGAAATGAATTTTCTGAACACGAGGTCAAAGGAAACATTGAAACAGCCTTTGAGAAATGTTAACTGAAGCATAGAGGTGGAAGTGTCATGGTATGGAGATGCTTTTCTAAATCAGGACCAGCATGCTCACTATCATACTGTTAATTATACATTATGATGTATCAGATGGTGTTTTAGGAAAATGTGAGATCATCTGTAAACCATTTAAAGATCAAAAAATGACTATGACCTAAAACAAACCCACCGAGGCCTGGATCTGGAAACATTAATAACTCATAAAGGTTGACCTTTAGGTAACAAATAAAAACTTTCTTTGATCTTCAGTGCCATGGTTCCCAAGGGACATCCAGGACTTGGACCGCTTTGCTAACCAGATCCTCAGCTACGGTTCGGAGCTGGATGCCGATCACCCTGTAAGTTCTGACTCATCCATCATCTACTGCTTTACAGCATCCTTCATCTCGCTCGCATGTTTGTATAAACACACGTCCCTTCACGCCCGCGCTGATCATAAAGGGGCCAGGCCGTGAAGATGACAGGGCGCTCTCCACCACCCTTTGTAATGGAAAATATATAGACCCACAAATTGATGTCATTGCTTTAATAGAGCCCCTGTAATTATAGATAATTGCTCCCTTTTGACAGTGTCATTAAAGTAAAATGGATTCACTGCAAACTGAAAAACACTCCTCAAAGGCTTCATCTGAATATGTAAATGATGGTTTCTTGTTAGAGTCGCTGTGCATAATGCTGTCAAAGGCCACAGAGGGTTTAGCAGAGGATTTCCACTCTTTGATTTAGAGCATCAGTTCTAATATGGCTTTCCCTTTGTGTGTTCAGGGCTTCAAAGATCCGGTGTATAGAGCCCGCAGGAAGGAGTTTGCTGACATCGCCTACAACTACAGACAGTAACCACCCATTTATATTAAGATATTCATCTATAAGTTGTTGAAGTTAAGGTTTAAAATGTCAGAGCATTGCACCTTTTTCTGCTTAAAAAACATGATATATGTTCCTTTTAATTTTAATCTAATATTAGTGGAAGATATTTAAAAAAAAATGTATTTTAAAAAACTTCATGACAGTGTTATGCCTTATGAATTACATTAAGTGGAGGGAAAATGGTACATGTTGACTTTCTGAAGGCAAAAAAAAGTAGAGCACAACTACTAAGCTGCCATGACATGGTGTCTACTTCCCATGGAAAAAGGGAATCGGATTATTAGCCAGATGTGCAAAGGAGGTATAGATATTAAACCAGAATTCTTGCAGCATTGATTGCAACTAAACATTCTAAAGGTTGCATTTTTTTTGTTGGTATATCATTTAAAATTGAAATAAAATACAGCAGAGTTGTAACAATTAAGAATATAAAAACTTTGAAGGGTTTTCCAATGCATCGTATAGATCTGGCATCCCCAAACTCGGTCCTCAAGGCCCCCTGTCCTGCAGGTTTTAGAGGTTTGTCTGCTTCAGCACAGCTGGTTATAATGATTGCAGTAGACCAAAAGCCTGTTAATCAACTTTCAATTAAAATCAGCTGTGCTGGAGCAAGGAAACCTCTAAAACCTGCAGGACAGGGGGCCTTGAGGACCGAGTTTGGGGATGCCTGGTATAGATATTCATTATAAAATGACCTTGATCCTGACATCGCAGTCATTTTATTTAGTCGTATTTTTCCACTAACAGCTAATATCTTCACCTTTATCTTTGTCCCAGTGGCCAGGCCATACCCAGGGTTGAATACACTGCGGAAGAAAAGGCCACATGGGGAACAGTCTTCAGGGAGCTCAAGGCTTTGTACCCGACTCATGCCTGCCGTGAACACAACCGGGTATTCCCTCTGCTGGAGGAATACTGTGGGTACAGGCCAGACAACATCCCACAGCTGGAGGACGTCTCCCGCTTCCTGCAGTGTGAGTCCTGGTTGATGAAGAGCCCAATCTCTTCATCTTAGGGCCTTAAAAGACCATTAGACCTGATTGGCTACGGTGGATGTTTACAAAAATTGCAAATGAGCCAATGAAATAAACAACCTCAAGTACCATGAAGTACTTTTTTTAAACATTTGTTCATATGGATATGCAACATTAACTTCCTTAATTTTTTTTTTATTGATTAGGTTATAAATCTTCAGATCTTTTTTGATTACCACGGCCGTTTGATTTTCGCTATTCCCATATTACAGATTATAATCCTTATATGTACAATATAACACTGTTATTCAATGGTGACAAAAGTACACACGTTTGTTACTATAGATACTGCAGTTTAAAAACCCTCTGGTAAAAGTTGAAGTATTAACTTGATCTCTTTACTCACGTAAAAGTGAAAAAGTATGTGCTCCAAAAACTACTTTAAGTATAAAATAATCTTTTAAAAAAAAACAAAAAAAAAAACAGCCAGATGTCACTATATGAATTGAAAGCTGAATTTTTCGACTATTTCTAAAATATTCTTTGAGATAGGGCCAAGGATGAGGGAGGTCTTGTTGGTCTCCGTCTCCCGATACGCTCTCGCCTGTGTCCGACCTTTCAGACATTTTAACATCTTTTTCTGAATCCAACATTGTAGCATGGCATAGACAATTCACGTTTGCAGTTTGAAGAACACCCGCTTGCTTCTGATGATTTCCGTTGGCGTCGCACAAATGTGTAGAATGATTGTTTGCGTTATATGACTCATCCAATTACAATAGTTTTCACTAGATGTGTATGGCGCTAATGATCTGCACTCGATGGCGCACATGACGTGAAATAAATATTTATAAACATTAAACTGAGGGCAAGAGTAACGAGTAACGTTTGCTTTTAAAATGTAAGGAAAAATAAGCAATGGAGTAAAGTATAGATACCTAAAAAGTGCACTTAAGTACAGTATATAAGTATTTGTACCTTGTTACTTGACACCTCAGTTGCTATTAAACAAATTCAAAAAGGCAGGCAATACTGATGACAAAGCAACTTCTAAGTCGCGTTAATCATATTACCGGATATAGTTGGTTAAAAAGCTAAGAATATCAAATATGTTTAGTTAAAAATGTAGGTATTTAAACATAGGTTCGTTATTTAAGGCTTAACAAGTTAGTTATATGACCTTTAAAACGAAGGAAAAATTACAACTACATGATTAAATTTGTCATTTTACTGTAACACAAAAGCTTCTTTATCATTTCTTTGTTGGTTATTCGTTCTTTTATACAAAAATGTAAGTTAATACATTTATTCGGTGTAAAAAAAAAAAAAAAAAAAAAAACGTTTGGTACTAACGGCTAATTTTAAAAAATCAGCTAAAGGCCTTATCTAAAATTAAAATGTAATAATTTGTTCTGCTGTTGCTCAATGTTAAACATAAATATAAAAATATTCAGGCCTACTTGTTTTGCTTTATAATAAATTTCTTTACATCGCCAAAGTAAATAACTGTTTTAATCGAGTAAAAATAGAACCGTGGCAACTTAGGCTAATAGCTAGTTTAAGTGAATGGATGTAGCCATATTTATAAATAAATTAGCATAAATTAAATTAAATAAATTTATAAATTAAATAAATTTATAGCATAAATTAGCCTTGCCTATATGTTTTACTTTGCCATAATCATGATGCACAAGAAAAAAAAGTAACTTAATTTGTTCATAAAGTGAAAATATATCCGGTAGCCTTTAGCTAGCAGTAAATCTTTGAATGGATTAGCACTAACATTTAACAAAACCGTTTCTTTTTCCATAGATCATGTTTTACCCCCCAAAGAAAATGTTTATTTGTTTTTGATCTGAGAATGTTTTATTTTTTTATGTTTACAATTTACCTAAAATAATGAACATATTTACAACTGACAAAACCTACAATGAACCTTGGCTAAAAATTGCTAGCGCAACAGATTAGCACAAGGTGTTTCTGATTACACATAAAATTTTAAGTGATGTGTTGCATTATGTTTAAACTGACACTTATTTTCTAAAACTATTTACAAAATAAATCGTTAAATGGTTCAGTGTTTTTTTTTTCTTGTCAATTTTATTTTTGTTATAAAAATGGTTAGGGGATGAGAGAAATATTCTGAACCCTGTTTTGTTGTTTTTTATAAAACAGAATGGGTATAAACATCTCTTGGTGACTGATAAATTTAATTTTGAGGCATGCTTGTGTTGCATAACACACACCATGAACCACTTTATTTTGGAAAACCTCTGAATGGGAGGCTTGACCTAATGAAATGCCCCACTTCCTGTGTTTGCCCTTACTCAATGCTTGTAAGGAAAATGGCCTCTGTTAAATGTCATGTCTCTGCTGCTATAAAACAGCATGCACAGGTTTTCGCCTTCGCCCAGTAGCTGGTCTGCTTTCTTCCCGTGACTTCCTGGCTGGACTTGCGTTCCGTGTTTTCCATTCCACGCAGTACATTCGTCACGGCTCCGTGCCCACATACACACCTGAACCGTAAGCATTCAAAAGTTTGCTAACAATCAAAAATATGTCAATCAAATATTAACGATGTTAAATCATATTTCAGGGATGTCTGCCATGAGCTTCTGGGGCATGTCCCTCTGTTTGCTGACCCCCGTTTTGCTCAGTTTTCTCAGGTAATAATCCTGCTGAAGTAAAAATCCTAATCTGGATTAGTTTTCATAACCTCAATAAAAATGATACCTCATTGTTTATCTATTTTTCATCTAGGAAATTGGGCTTGCATCTCTCGGTGCTCCTGATGAGTACATTGAGAAACTTGCTACTGTGAGTAAATGAACATATAAAAAAATCTTTTCTAGAAACATTTGATTTGTTTAAAAAGCCTCCAAGTTCAACTAAGTGATCAGCTTCAAACTAGATGAAAAAATTATAATCTAGACCAGCAGTTCAAATGAATTAAATTCAGTTTTGATTATAAACTAGTAAATAAATAAGGGCCGTTGTTAGTCGTACAAAACTAAAAATCCCTTTGCAAGTAGCACTACACTGGGACATGATATCCCTTAGCAAAAAGTAGTTTATTCAAGTATACTAAAAGTGCACTAATTTAATACTTAAAATCAGGCAGTGCACTTAAGAGTTTACTTATTCTAAACTATATTTCATATACTAAACAATAGTATAGCCAAGTGTACTTGACTATACTATCGTTTACTTTATTGTTTACTAAAGTATAATTTAGTAAACTTAAAAATGTCCCAATTTAGTTCTAAGAAGTATTACTTTAGTAATACTTCAAGTACACTAAAAGTACATTGTTCGGTATACTTTCTAAACTTATACTTAAGTATTCTTAATAGAATTTACTTCAGGTATACTACTTTTTGCTAAGGCATAAATGCATTGATTTCTGGTTTTGGTCGTTTGGGGATCTGAATCATGCAGGTGTGCTTTTCATAAAGCCTAGGTTTTTCATCAACGGTCCTGGAAAAGTTACAGTTGATGTCAATCAGTCTGGGAAAAAATTCAATAAATAATTTTAAAATCTGACTGTGCATTGTGCCCATAGGTGTACTGGTTCACCATAGAGTTCGGACTCTGTAAGCAAGGTTCGGACGTCAAAGCTTATGGAGCTGGTCTGCTGTCATCGTTTGGAGAGCTGAAGGTAAGAGGAAGCTGAGCAGCAATCATAGAATGAGGAGTGGGTTAGTGGTTCACTCGGATTCAGGTTTGCTGTCTCACTGGGGAGTCAGCCTGCTGGGTCAGCAGGGTGGCTGTACTGTAATTTAGTTCACTGGGTGAGCCAGAGGAGAGAATAACGGATGAGCAGCTTGCTATCCAGGTCACAGGTTACATCATCTGCTGTCAGCAGAGGATGTGCACTCTGCCAAACCACTGGCAACGCTCTGATTCATGCTGCACTTCCTGCTTATTGCTATGAAAACGGAACCATTGAAGAACCTGAATCCATTTGTGAACATTGTTTTTTTTTTTTTGCAGTACTGCCTAACAGACAAGCCCCAAATGAAACCTTTCGACCCAGAGAAGACCAGCCAGCAGAAATACCCGATCACAGAGTACCAGCCGGTGTACTTTGTTGCTGAGAGCTTTGAGGATGCCAAAGAGAAAGTGAGGTATAGAGATATGATGTACTGTGCGGTGAAACAACCTCATAGTTGAATTGGATTATATGTGATAATCCAACACAAAGCACTACAATGAAATAATAATATTTAAACTTTATTGATCTAACATTGCAGAAATTTAGCTCTGCATTTAACCCCTCCCCTTGGGGAGCAGTGGTCTGCCATTGTGGGGCACCCAGAGAGCAGTGTGGGGTTAAGGGTCTGTGGGAGTGGGGTTCGAACTCAGAACCTCAGGATTCCACTTCCCATATATTTACCCTTTTTTAACAAATAAAATGCAGGTAATCTTATTGAACACACCATCCCCACATCAATGCATAGTAGTGGCAGCAACATGATGGGGGATTTTTTAAGTTTATTTCAGGTAAAGGAAAGTATATGAAAGTTAACAAAGATAAATCGAGTAAAATAATTATATTGGGAGAAAAAGAAAAGTCAGAGTTTCTTCCATTTTGCTGTAATAAGCTACATAATGTTAGCCTGACGTAGTCCGACTCAATTCTAGTCAGAATATGAGTATGATACTGCTCCATAGAGCTGTGATTATGGGGCGTGTTTCGAACGAACCAGGAAAAAAAATGCCTCTGCACTCAATTGGATAGACCTACAACCAATAAGAGCAACGGAGTGCGTGACGTATGTTAAGCGAGGCATAGTTGTTGTCCACAAAAATCAAAGCGTGCAATTGCACGGCTATAAGATGAGACTTGATCGCGTTTCTCTGTTCCTCTTTTAAAATTAATTTGCTGTCGATATCTTCTAGAACAGACCTAATAGCAGAATCTACTCACCTAAACTCTCCAGCGGCAGCCATTATTGTTGTCACCCAAGCGCACATTGGTCACGTGGTTGATTACGTGACTGTTGGTCATCTGTCCATCATCGTATAAAGCCCGCCCTGACAATTTGATTGGATCGCCTGACAGTGGGCGATAATACTCGCGCTACTATGGAGCAGAGCCAGACCGAACTTCCCCGACCTCAAACTTTGTGGGCGGGACTAAGTTCGGAATGGCACCCAGGCTAACATAATGTTGGTGGTTCACCTAAAATGCTACAAAATACAGAAACAATTTTAGATGTCAGGTGATAAAATGTAATGGGTCTCTTTGGGGCTTTTTAATACCTTTTTTTCTTTTTAAGAAGAAATGTTTCCTCTGGGGGTTAAGCCAATTTGTACCTGTCCACAGGAAATTTGCTACCACCATCCCCAGGCCTTTTTCAGTCCGCTACAACCCCTACACCCAAAGCATCGAAGTCCTGAACAACACCCAGCAGCTGACCAACCTGGCAGAATGCGTCCACAGTAAGCGCCGCAGTCCTCCCACCCTTTCGTTTTTCTGTCTTAGCTATAGATATCTTTTTATTCTGGTTTTAGGTTAAATTTATTAAACGCAGTTGCTGGATTATCAGAAAAACCAAACGGTGTTTCTATGATTAGGATCCTGAATATATCTGTTTTAAGAAATGTACTTATATGCAAAGGGTCACAAAAAGATAGATGGTGCTGTAAGCTTCTACTTACTTTGTCCCAAAATAATGGCAATAGCACAATTAATTACTAATGTACAAAAACATAAAGGTAGGGAACAAGTTTAAATGGGAGGTAGGATACAAATAAGGAAGTGATGAAAAGGGAAGGAAAGGAGGATGGGAAAAAATAAAAGAAGGAGGGAAAGAAAGTAGGGATGGGAAGAAGGGAGTTAAGGATCAAGGATGGAGGGAAAGGAGGAAAAAAGGGAAGCAAGTCCAAAAAAAGAAGAAAAAAAGTAAAGGATAAGCAAAAAAGGAAAGAAAAGGCCACTAGAAAAAGAAAGGTGTTAAAAAGGAAGATCAACATTTGGATAATGAGATAGAGAATAAGGTGTGAGGTTATGTGGAGGTTTTGAGGACCCAAATGCAGAGAGGAGTAGGCCCGATGAGTCTGGATGGTTTAATGAAAGCCGAGGGAAACGGAGGCAAAAATCCAAAATCGAAAAATATTTAAAAACCAAACAAAACCAATAAACGTCATAAAAAATACTCAAAGGAAGCAAGAGACTAAGAAGCGACAAAACAACATCTACAACACACAAGAAACCAGCACTGAATGAAGGCTCTGGTGCTTTTTTAAACCCAGCACTATGATTAGAAAGAAGTCTTTCACCTCTACCCAAGTTCTCCACAAAGATCCTCTATAGTTGAGATGCACAACTCGCACTAACCCACACACAGGAACCCTGACATAAGGGCTGGAAAATATATATATATTTTAGTTTACAGACTGGGTGTGAACTCTGATGACAGCTCTGGCCTTTTTTTTTTTTTAGTAGTTTAATGCTTTAAAATAAAAACAAAAACAGAAATCAATCGTCTTTTTTTTTTATCATTCTTAACTTTAGATTTATCTCAAGTATTTTTTAAGCAGTAAAAAACAAGAAAATTAAAATCAATAACATAATATAACAAGAGGGGATTATTATTCTATGAGTAAATTGAAAAGGTGCAACAATTTTAGGCTAATTTCTTCTCTCTTTTATTTTCTTCAGGTGAACTGGGAAAATTGTGCGAAGCCCTTCGGAAACTGGAGTGACTGCTAATCCAGCTGGACGTGATCGCTTGTCTCCGCCTTCTAAATGATTGTTCAGTTTCTAAGTTTTTAATATTTCTTCTCGGCTTGCTTAAAAGTTAGATACATAAACACAGCAGTATATATACTATATAAGGCTAGAGCAATATGAAATAACAGCTGTAACTCGTAACATATACAGGAAGTTGTTAGGAATGTGTTTGCTGAAGCTGGAGGTATTTCTGTCAGTATTACACCAGTGTGATTTTTTTAGTGGATTTATTTTTCAAAATAAATGTATTTCTCAGTCAACACCTTTAACTTAGCTTTGTTTAATCTAAACCTCACATTGAGCACATTTTCTCTTATGTTTTTATTTGATTTGTTTCTAAGCATTTTATTGCAAAAACACACACAACTCTCTCCTGTTTCCACTTTTAAGTTGTATCTAAAAAAATTACTATTTTTATGCATGAAAAAGAAATAAAGACAAATTTAAAAAAAAAATTCTCATGGGAGGGAGGGATGGATGGATGGATGCATGGATGGATGGAGGGAGGGATGCATGGATGGAGGGAGGGATGGATGCATGGATGGAGGGAGGGATGAATGGATGGAGGGAGGGAGGGAGGGAGGGATGAATGGATGGAGGAAGGGAGGGAGGGATGAATGGATGGAGGAAGGGAGGGAGGGATGAATGGATGGAGGGAGGGATAGATGGAGGGAGGGAGGGATGGATGGATGGATGGAGGGAGGGATAGATGGATGGAGGGAGGGAGGGAGGGATGGATGGATGGAAGGATGCAGGATGGATGGAGGTAGGAGGGAAGGAGGGATGCATGGATGGATGGATGCATAGAAGGAGGAAGGGAGGGATGCATGGATGGAGGGAGGGATGCATGTGTGGATGGAAGGATGCAGGATGGATGGATGGAAGGATGGATGCATGGATGGAGGGATGGATGCATGGATGGAGGGATGGATGCATGGATGCATAGAGAGAGGGAGGGAAGGATGGATGCATAGAGAGAGGGAGGGAGGGATTGATGCATGGCTGGATGGAGGGAGGGAGGGATGGATGCATAGAGTGAGGGAGGGAGGGATTGATGCATGGCTGGATGGAGGGAGGGAGGGATGGATGCATAGAGAGAGGGAGGGAGGGATTGATGCATGGCTGGATGGAGGGAGGGATTGATGCATGGATGGATGGAGGGAGGGAGGGATGAATGGATGGAGGGAGGGATGAATGGATGGAGGGAGGGATGAATGGATGGAGGGAGGGAGGGATGGATGGAAGGATGCAGGATGGATGGATGCATGGAGGGAGGGAGGGATGCATGGATGGATGGATGGAGGGTGGGACGGGTGTATGGATGAAGGGAGGGATGCTTGGATGGATGGATGGATGGATGCATGGAGGGAGGGAGGAAGGGATGCATGGATGGATGGAGGGAAGAAGGGATGGATGCATAAAGAGGGGGAGGGAGGGAGGGACGCATGGATTGATGGAGCGAGGGCAGGAGGCATGGATGCATAGAGAGAGGGAGGGAGAGAGGGATGGATGCATAGAGAGAGGGAGGGAGAGAGGGATGGATGCATAAAGAGAGGGAGGGAGAGAGGGATGGATGCATGGAGGAGAGAGGGATGGATGCATGCATGGAGGGAGAGAGGGATGGATGCATGCATGGAGGGAGAGAGGGATGGATGCATGCATGGAGGGAGAGAGGGATGGATGCATAAGAGAGGGAGGGAGAGAGGGATGGATGCATGCATGGAGGGAGAGAGGGATGGATGCATGCATGGAGGGAGAGAGGGATGGATGCATGCATGGAGGGAGAGAGGGATGGATGCATAGAGAGAGGGAGGGAGAGAGGGATGGATGCATGCATGGAGGGAGAGAGGGATGGATGCATGCATGGAGGGAGAGAGGGATGGATGCATAGAGAGAGGGAGGGAGAGAGGGATGGATGCATGCATGGAGGGAGAGAGGGATGGATGCATGCATGGAGGGAGAGAGGGATGGATGCATGCATGGAGGGAGAGAGGGATGGATGCATAGAGAGAGGGAGGGAGAGAGGGATGGATGCATAGAGAGAGGGAGGGAGAGAGGGATGGATGCATGGAGGGAGGGAGGGAGAGAGGGATGGATGCATAGAGAGAGGGAGGGAGAGAGGGATGGATGCATAAAGAGAGGGAGGGAGAGAGGGATGGATGCATGGAGGGAGAGAGGGATGGATACATAGAGAGAGGGAGGGAGAGAGGGATGGATGCATAGAGAGAGGGAGGGAGAGAGGGATGGATGCATAGAGAGAGGGAGGGAGAGAGGGATGGATGCATAGAGAGAGGGAGGGAGAGAGGGATGGATGCATAAAGAGAGGGAGGGAGAGAGGGATGGATGCATAAAGAGAGGGAGGGAGAGAGGGATGGATGCATAGAGAGAGGGAGGGAGAGAGGGATGGATGCATAAAGAGAGGGAGGGAGAGAGGGATGGATACATAGAGAGAGGGAGGGAGAGAGGGATGGATGCATAGAGAGAGGGAGGGAGAGAGGGATGGATGCATAGAGAGAGGGAGGGAGAGAGGGATGGATGCATAGAGAGAGGGAGGGAGAGATGGATGGATGCATAAAGAGAGGGAGGGAGAGAGGGATGGATGCATGGAGGGAGAGAGGGATGGATGCATAGAGAGAGGGAGGGAGAGATGGATGGATGCATAGAGAGAGGGAGGGAGAGAGGGATGGATGCATAAAGAGAGGGAGGGAGAGAGGGATGGATGCATGGAGAGAGGGAGGGAGAGATGGATGGATGCATAGAGAGAGGGAGGGAGAGAGGGATGGATGCATAAAGAGAGGGAGGGAGAGAGGGATGGATGCATGGAGGGAGAGAGGGATGGATGCATGGAGGGAGAGAGGGAGAGAGGGATGGATGCATAGAGAGAGGGAGGGAGAGAGGGATGGATGCATAAAGAGAGGGAGGGAGAGAGGGATGGATGCATAGAGAGAGGGAGGGAGAGAGGGATGGATGCATGGAGGGAGAGAGGGATGGATGCATAGAGAGAGGGAGGGAGAGAGGGATGGTTGCATAGAGAGAGGGAGGGAGAGAGGGATGGATGCATGGAGGGAGGGAGGGAGAGAGGGATGGATGCATAGAGAGAGGGAGGGAGAGAGGGATGGATGCATAGAGAGAGGGAGGGAGAGAGGGATGGATGCATAGAGAGAGGGAGGGAGAGAGGGATGGATGCATAGAGAGAGGGAGGGAGAGAGGGATGGATGCATAAAGAGAGGGAGGGAGAGAGGGATGGATGCATGGAGGGAGAGAGGGATGGATGCATAGAGAGAGGGAGGGAGAGAGGGATGGATGCATGGAGGGAGGGAGGGAGAGAGGGATGGATGCATGGAGGGAGAGAGGGATGGATGCATAGAGAGAGGGAGGGAGAGAGGGATGGATGCATGGAGGGAGGGAGGGAGAGAGGGATGGATGCATAGAGAGAGGGAGGGAGAGAGGGATGGATGCATGGAGAGAGGGAGGGAGAGATGGATGGATGCATGGAGGGAGGGAGGGAGAGAGGGATGGATGCATAGAGAGAGGGAGGGAGAGAGGGATGGATGCATAGAGAGAGGGAGGGAGAGAGGGATGGATGCATAGAGAGAGGGAGGGAGAGAGGGATGGATGCATAGAGAGAGGGAGGGAGAGAGGGATGGATGCATGGAGGGAGGGAGGGATGCATGGATGGCTGGATGTGAAAAGATTCAACCAAAAAGTTTAAACCTGCTTTTGTGATTTTATAAAGTGAAATGAAATAAAAGTCAACATAAAGTATACAAGGCCAATATGATACTTCTTCATGAAACTGAATCAGATACACGTTTTAGCTTTCAAATAATAGTAAATTAGTTTAAATTTAGTTCCCAAAACCTTTTCAACTCATTTTTAAAATATATAAAAAGGATCATTTTAGAATTGAAAATAAATATTACAACTACAAATCAGTAAGTAGGGAGATGTTGAACATTTAGGAAGAGATCCTAAACCTAAACTGCGCTACTACAAACTAAATGTTCCTGTTATTAGTGGGGAAACATTTATGTAACCCGCTTTGTTTATAACTGCAACTGCACTCACCTGTTAAAATTGGGTTTTTCCTCTCCAAACAGAAGCACTTGTAGAGCCATAAATAGAAATAACACCATGACGCGCAACGGGTCCCCAAAAAGCCGGACCCACATGTCGCACTTACGCAATTGATCTCCATCAAAGCTTGAGGAGCGCTTATTTAAGCGCAGCAGGCAGGAGGAGCGGGGATGAACGCGCACCATCTGTCTGCTCCACTGACCGAGAAACCTTCAGCGCAGACCGGCCACATGAAGACCGACGGCGCGGCGCAGACGCTCAGCGGCAGGAAGCAGAGTCTGATCGAGGATGCGCGCAGGGAGCGCATCGGCAGCGGCTCCTCGGGGCCCTCACCGGGGCCCTCACGGTTCGGAGACGGATCAGTGTTCGAGGAGAAGGACGGAAGAATGAGCGTGAACGTCCTGTTCAGCCTCAGCAACGAGAAAAACTCCGGATTTTTCCAAACAGGCAAAATATTCCAGGTAATAATTAAAAGATGTTGACATTTTTTATTGCATTTTTTATGCTTATTTTATTATTTTCGTAAATCCAATTTGCCATTTTTATAGATTTTAAATCTAGATAAGAAAAAATAAAGTTTCTTTATCTTTACGTTAGTGAATTATTGATGAGATATTGTATTATTTATGACAAAATAAAAACATTGTTTAAGCATTTCTATTAACATTACTCCATCATTTAATCATCATTATATTTGCATTATGTTCTCTTTTTGATATTTATATTTTATCCAATTCAAGTTTATTCTGTTTATTATCTTAGCATTTAAAAACTAAGATACAATCACAGTAAATCAAAACTAAAAGAATTTAAAATAAAAGAATATCGTTGGGACATTGTTTTTATCTGCAAAAAGTTATATTTCACACATTATAAGTTACAGCTTTAAAATATTTCCTTTCTAAAATACCACAATAAAAACATAGTTATCTTGAATTTATTCTTCAATTTTGTATTTTTGGATTTTAATCTCTAAGATTTGAAATAGCAAATCAAATATGTAAATAATTTGTTAATATTATAATTTATGTTTTTTGATATTAGTACTAAAATTATTATTTAAATTTTATATATTTTTTTTTTATTATTGGAATTATTATTATTTTACTATTTTTATTATTTAAAAAATGTTAGAACTGTAAATATACAGTCATGTTTATTTTACCATTTTTTTATGCGTTTATTACCCTTTTCAAGGCTGCACTTTAAAAAAATGAAACTGTCTTAGAGAGCTGTTTTAAACGAAATTTCTTTTTGGATACACTTGTGTATACAAAATG